AAAAAGTGACGGAGGTAACGGAGGAACGACGGAAGTTAGAAGTAAGGGCTATTTTCTTCCATTCTTATAGGTTATGGGCTAAAACCGTTATATTATAAAGTGATTGGCTAAAATCGTCCAACTTATTAAAGTAATGGGCTATTTTTAGGCTTTTGCCTATTCTTATCGTATATTTAAGTTAAAAAAAAAAAAAAGAAAGAGAAGAGAGAAGAGAGGAATTTTATCCTTGGATTCCCCTTCCCTCTCCTCTCCCCTCATTCCTTCATTTGAATAAAAACATAAAATAAAATTTAAAAATAAAATAAAAATTCTTTTTTTTTTTCCTCCATGCTTCTCAACCCAAAACATACTTTAATGTATTATCGAGAGGTAAGTGTTATTGCAAATAATATTTGAGAGTCACGATCAGTTTTTATTAACAATTTGATATCAAATTCTTAGAAGTCAAGCGAATTTTAACTAGAATCATCGCATAGAGCAAACTTATGTGTAAAATGGAAAAGCGTTTTAAATCTCCTAGACATGAAAAAAGGTCAATTTGGTTGTCCAGCCAAACATTTGGCCATTAATGAACTACGGGTAAGTGTTCTTAAAGAAGTTACTTTAAATGAAGGACTAGGAAAAGATAACCACAATCATGTTATCAGATTAGCAATAAAAGTGATTATTACGCAACAAAGAGGTTTGAATTTTCTTAATCTCTTAAAATAAATACATATTCTCTTATATGATCTTCTATAAATAAGAAAAAATATATTATACAATTCAAATTGCACTAAATTATATAACATTAATCATTAGATGGAAAGATGATATTTAATATCAAAAGATTTAACCCTCATTCAATGACTTTTATTTTGTAATTTAGTACAATTTAAATTACAAAATAAAGAACTTATATAAAAATAACATTTTTCAATGCAAATCTTACATAACCATATATCTTATATAAATCTTACCTATGACTAGAAGCTTTATACTGATTTAATTAATTTTCTATCTATTGGTTCATAGAAAAAAAAAATTTTTTGATTTGCTGGTGAATAATTTAAAATAGCTTATTTTATATAAGCAAAATCCGCATAATATAACAAAACATGGTATTAAATGAAATAGTACTCCCTCAATTATTTAATTCAAAATAGGGGGGGGTTCAAGTTCATTTTATTTACAGAGTTGTTCCTATCATCTCATCTAACACTCATGCCTGAAATTAAATGATTGAGTGTTGAAATAAAGAACAAATGATTGAAAAAGTGCCACGTAACCTCAGATAAAAAAAAATTTTAAGAGTTGAAAATTGAAATTGATAGATACCCTACTAACAAGAGAGAGTAAATTAAAAGGTAATTTAAAAGTTAAAAATTTTAAATTTAAATTTGGAAATAAATGAAGAATGATTTGGAAATAGAGAAGGATTTTCTTTTTATCATTACAAAAAAATAGACATTTTGTAATGAAAAATTGATTATAAAAACTCATATTTTTTGTTATAAATTAAATTTGTGTATAAAACTTAAATTTTTACTTTTAATTTTATTATCATAAAATATTTATTTTTTATAATGTATATAACTCATATTATCATAAAATATTTATTTTTATAGTATATATAATTCATAATAAGATGTATAAAAAAAAAAAAAAAAAGGTGAAGTGTCACATGATGGCAGAACAGACCCTCACAACAAGAAAAGAATGGCGGCACTAACCCTCCAAGGGAAAGAAATTAGATCCACTCCTTGCACGTTTCCTACAATTTTGCTACTTACTCATATTAATCATTAAGTTAGCATGCGACCAAATAATTAAAAATCAGACAACAGTTACATTGAGAAACAAATTATTCTTTTAAGGAACACTTCCACATAAGAAACAGCATAGAAAAACATCATGAAATCACACCGGATGTTTCTTTAAAATCCAACAATAATATCATTTATGATCTAATAATAATACTAGTATTTTTGGTAGCCAGTCAAGCGAAACTTGCTACAAAGGGAAAGAAATAATGTCCATTCAAAGTCATGTTCTATCATCCTCCCCAAGGAATCCTAAGATGATTTTTTCATTTAATATTTTTATAAACGATTTCGTGAGAATCCAACGTAATCTTTTGTGGCTTGTGAAAGAGAAATATGTATCGATTTTCACAATAATAAATTAATTATTGTCATTAATTTTGGTCCCTAATTCTGCAGATTTCAGTACCATAATTTCGATGCATGAGCTGGACCTATATGATTTCCTAGTAGTTATCATATTCAATTATAAATGCAAACGGCAGTAATAAAATTTTTACGAAGAGTCTAATTTTACCATTCATATGGTAAAATATCAATATTTAAATTAAAAAAAGATTTTTAATATTAAAAAAATTATCTTATTTAATAATTTATTTTATTTGTTTTAAATAATAATTATTTTTAATTTTACTTTCAAATTAAAATTTTAATATTAAAATTTTATTTTTATTTATTTTATTCTTAAAAAATTTAAATAAAAAGATTTCTTATATGATAAATAATTAAAATCAAGAAATTTTCATTAAGTTAATTAGATAAAAAAAAATTTTGTCTTTTTAAAATAAAAAAAAAACTACTGCCATCCTAGATAAATTTT